TTTTATAATTTGGTAACTGTTCACTACTGTAAGTCACCACAGCCTGAACATGGGTCAGCAGTGTTGTGCTTCATCAGACGAAGCAAACATCGTGCTGGACCTTGGGTGAAGCTTGAGATAGCTCTCCTGTTTGTATGTGGAACTGGCCAAGAGAGCAGCCCAGTGTGCTGGGAACAGTGTGTGACTGACAGCAGGGAGATAAGAATCACCAGCAGACTGGGTAATGTGGTCTGTCAGGAAAGAGGGAAAGAATCTGCTTAGTCAAAAAAACAAAAACAAAAACCAAAAAAACCCAAAAAACCGGACTTGTCTTAATATGTAAAATGCCTTCTTTATGTTTAGTAACTGGTAAAGAGATAACAGACAAGTTTCAGCAAGGTTTAGGTTAGACATTAGAAAAATCGTTCTAACCTGGGACAGTTAAGTCTAGGGGAGTCACTGTCATTGGAGGTTTTAAAGATGAGGTTAAAGCAGGAGCTTCCCACCGCTGTCAGACTTGCCCCAGGCTGCCATTTCCATCACTTTCACCTTCCCTGTCTCCTGCCGCAGAACCACTGCCGCTGCTTTGCGCCCCTGCCTGTTCCTGCCACGCTGCTGCCGCCGCCTCCCCGTGCCTGGCTCTGCAAGTCCAACACCAAGGGGAAGGCAGCATTGTCCTGTGGTGTGCAGCCCCTGTAGCATCTGCAACGAGGTGCAAGTTGTCTGTCTGTTCAGATGGGCTGCGCTAAACAAAGCCTCCGCTTGCTTTGATTCCAAGGGCTAAGAGACAGTCCCGAGGGGCTCACAAAATCCCAGTTCCCGTTTCCTTGACAGTCTTACTTTAGGTCACCAAGGATCACTCAGTCTTCAGCTTTAGAGGCACAGTGGTATTGGGATGGGGGGAGAGAATAGAGACCACAGCACTTTTTTGATAATGTTTCATCAAAGGTATTGTTACTAAGTAACTAATTATGTAGGTATGTGCTACATATTTTTTGCTTTTGTTCTCTTATTCTGTGGGAGTTAGCAGAATACCTGCCTTAATGTGAGTTCCTGCTGCCGGACAAAGATTTCTCTTGGAAATGTCCTTTCATGGGGCATAAATGACTGAGCTAAGCAGCAGAGCATCTAATCACTTACCATTTTTTAAAAAACTATTAAAGCTTCTAATTGCTGCAGTAAAAACAATTAAAAACAAAAAAGGCACAAGATAATCAGTTTCAGTTGGAGGTTTGTACTTGTTATAAAAATTGACAGTTTGAGGCTTTTAAGCAGAGTAGGAATCCTCACCACATTGCTTTCCTATCCCTTCCTTATAATTATTTATTTTCTCACCTAATAAAACTCCCTTTTGCATTATAAAATCCCTGTATGGTCCTGAAAGTGCAGTAGAAAATAAACTTTTTTAAAGGATCAGGACAATATTTTTGCTGTTTTAGTTTATTTGATCCATTTTGATGCTGAAGACAGATTTTAAGCAGAAATCTAACAGCTTATTAAGAGTACTTTTCTCACTTTATTTATACAGTGTAGCACAAATCTGTTTTACCACATCAAACATTACTGCGTGGCTATGCGCAGAAACCTCATCATAGTTTACTACCTGTCAGTATGAAATATCAACAGTATGATTTAATCTGTGCAGTCTGTGCTTATTTCTGTGGAAAACACATGATTTCTAAGCACTTTATGAAAGGGAGGTATGTATTTCAGGCACTGCTTATTTACTGTAATATCTTAAAATATCCACATTGTAGTTCAGTTTTACATCTTTTTAAAATTATCCCCCAAACCTTTACAGATGTGTCTGTTCCACAAGTAGTCTGGGTCCACCTTAGTTTCCATTGTCTTAGGTCCACATCATTTTCTGGGACTTTGGTTTAGGAGGTTGGGTTTGTTTTGGTTTGGTTTTTAAATTGTATTAGCTACAGTAATTTGAATAAAATAGGGAAAAGCTAATTTTCCTTGAGCAACCATAGTCATGCAGAATAAAATAATAATTTTTTGAAAATGGAAATATTCCAAATTTTCAGTGAGTACTTTCAGTCACTTTCTGTTTTGAAATTTGCCAGCAAATTTGTTTGCAAAATAATAATTTAATGGATTGAAAAATCAGTTACTTCTTTTAGTTCATAGAAATTTGTGGCATTTTCCGTCATACCTAACAGCATGTAGTAACTTAGTCTGAGATAGTAACAGCACAGCAGCGAAGAAGCTAAATTGTTCATGTTAGCTGTATCAGAAAACTAGTAGGCTAGATTCTGAGTTGGAGATGTGAAGGAAGAGACAATCGGTGGCATCCGAACTTCAACTTAAAAATCAAAAATCAAAAAAATTTAAAGTACTGCTAATTGAGATTTGACAAAAAGTAATCCTGATTATTTGCCTACTGCTTTCATACATGTTTATTCCCAGGTTTATTACAGCAAGTGCCCTTTTTTAGTTATGGAAAGAACTGTCATTTTTATTATCAGTAATGTTAAACATGAAATACAGTAATATTTTTCTTTAGATAGTTTATGGTTATAATCAGTATCCACTGATCCTGGAAAGATCCTGTTAAACTCTGAGGATTGATTTATAATCCTGGAACTTTTCAGAAAAATAGTCAAAATTGCTTGGTTATATTTATTTTCATATGTTCTTGATGAAAGTAGCTTCTGAATTTGAACTTTAAAAGATTATTTTTAATGATTCAAAGTGGTGAAAAGCACTCATGTTCTCCCATGAATATGAATTTTGCAGTAAATGGCTTCATAAAAGAGGGAAGGTGCAAAACAACTACAGGAGTGTGAGAGAGACGAGAGTGTTATAGGTTTTTTTATTGCTGTGTACATTCAATAAATAATGGCAGCGTAAACCTGTTTAATATAAGCTTATTCCATCAAAAGTAGAGGAGACATAATTTTTCTTTGGAATGAAAAATACTGGCATAGGTACTACAGTGACAGTGATGTCATTTTGAGTAAGAATCAGAACAAGATACTGTGGAACTCAGTTTTGTGACAGGCAAATAGGTAAAAATTATGTACAGCCATTAATTTTGTATAAGTAAACCAGAACAACAAAGCAGGGACCCCTAATTTACACGTACTATAGGCCTGGTTTGTGTTTGTAAGCGTACAACACATACATTAGTATTTTCAGATTCACAGTACATTTCTGAGTCATTAGTATTTTAGGAATGTTTAGTTAGAGTATTCTTGACATATATTACTATCTTCAGTGGAAAAGGAGCTGGAAAAGAGTGCTTTTATTTTCAGCTGTGTGAATGGGGAAGATTTCAGATATTTTTCAATGTAAACATAGGAGTTTGTATATTTGGCCTGAGGTCTTTTTCCTTCATGTACTCTTGTATATCATGTTCTGTTTTTTCAGGTAATGTGAATTCATGAAGGTTCATGGTGCTTTAAAAATCTTAACTACTTACACAAGTTTCTAGCAGTGCTGGTTAGAGTCTTGATTCTGTCACTTGAAATGAATGAACAGATGATTTTTTAATATATTAAAAGAGGCTGTAAATAACAGAAACAAAATCAGAGCAGGCAGGAATAGCATGTGAACTGGATCCCAGTTCTTTAAAGATAATCACAGAAACAAGCACCACTGAAGAATATAGTGCTACAGTGTTAAGTTGAAGTTTGAAGTCCTGATCAGGATTAATGCATATGTAACAAGAGAATGTAATTGTTGGCTGCAGTACCAGGGGACTGTATTTGGTGACCTAAAACTAATAAATTTTTCTGTTGAAAACAATGCAAGGAACACATCTATTGTGCTAAATTGCTGATTTCTGTCACACATTCATATAAGAAACAAACCCAGCTGTATTACTATGGTAATGTAGGTGGAAATCTCACCCCATCCCAGGGAGATAAATTGATGTAAATAGAATTATTGCTCTGTTTCTCTACTGTTTCCTTCCTTATTTGATGGGTTCAGTTGTATCAGGATCTTTATGAAAGCACACACAATTTTTTATTTTTGTACTGGTAAATTGGGGAAGACTTTGGCTTTTTATTCTTCCAGATAAGCTAAAAGAAATACTCAAGACAACATCCAAATGAATAAATTCAAGCATACAGCATGAATTAAAGTAGCATTTCACAGTTGTCTCTGTGTATACTGGTTGTATTTCTCATGTAAATGATTCCAACATTCAACATTTTTAATTTTCCAGTTTAGTACTTGCTTATCAAAGACTGCTTGCTACCTGTTAGGTACAGCTTTCTTAGTTTTATATGTTCAGTGCAGAGCAATGTTTAGGATTTCCAATAAATAGTTTTAGTGTGTACTATAAAGCCATTCTGGTTTAGATTAACTATGAATGAATCTCTGATACTACACATACCTAATAGATAGATATAAATGTGTTTATTGATGTAACAGACAATGTAATATGGAAAAATTGAAGAACTTTTTTTCTTTCTGAAAAAAATATTAAAATAGGGCAATTTTCCTTCTAGCCAAACTGCTTGTGAAGTAACTTTACATTGTAAAATGTGGGAATGTGAAGTTCATCAAATAATTTGACTATGTTTTCTGTGGTATTTTTGACTGCTATGTAAAAATGTTATATAACAGAACTAATAAAGGCTGTTGTACTGAAATTTGTAAATCAAGCAAAATAAACCTACAGAAAACTGATTCAATGGGAAAAGTTATTAGTTGAGCTTTTCAAAATGGATAATGTTAGATGCATTTATTTTTCTTTTTTTATGGCAATAATCTATGACTTAATCTTGCTAGTGTAATACCTTTGGGCCACTGCACTCAAATAAATTTGAGATGAGACCTTTACTGTAAAGGATAATCAGACATGCATTTTATTTGGGGGTTTTGTTTGTTCGTTTCTAGATGTGAATGGTGCCTGCAAAGTGTAAAGGGCATCGTGCAAACACGCAGTCATTTTGTAACTGAAGATCGTAAGCATAGACTGCAGTATGGAAGTACTACCCCTTTAAACTCAAATTCAGAATTTAAATTCTTAGGTTTGTGATGTTTCTGATTAATTTTAATCTATTTCTTTAATTTATTTCTAGGAGAAGTTACATCCAAGAAATCTTATCCCAGAGCTTTGTAGACTGTTTTATGGTTTGGGCTGGGTAACAGGAACTGGTGGAGGAATCAGCTTGAAACATGGGTAAGTAGAGATGGAAGGGAAAGAATGTGATGGTTAGAGAGAGAGAGCAACTGTTTAGAAGTTGGTGAGGGCATTTCAGTACCATGAAAAACGTTTGAAAGTCAAGTGAACAAGAAGGTAAAGAAGGAAATGAACAGTACGCTAAACTTAACCATATAGAAGGGAGGTGGCTGGTCAGAATAAATCACTACAGTCCCTTCAATGGAGAGAGCCATCTTCATAGAGTGACTTTTTTCTATACTTTTCCTATCTTTTTTTAAGGTAGATGAATTGTCTATAAGGAACAGTGGATTCCTCCTTTTTCATTTCACTGACTGTTGAATTTAGGGGAGGTTACACTAGGCACACAAGGCTTTCAAATGCCTGTGGTTAGATGATAGGAATCCCACCCTAGACATTTTGCAGGCAAGACATTTACTTTAAGAAGGAAATTACCATTCTTCTGAGATAATTTCTAAGGAGATATTCTTAACGTATAATTATAGCACAACAGGTAACAGCAAAACATTTTTTGTATATCCACTACTAAGGAGCACCACTTTGCTTTTTATTTGCTTGTCTCTCCCTGTTCATACTTTCCAAGCTTTTAATGGAGACAGAGCTCCTCTCAGTGGCCACTGAAGAAAGAGAAGTCATTCTGCAAAACACCTTGCACAGGGCCTGATATTCTGTCCCCAGTCACAGGATGTTTTGACTCTCTAACTTGAAAGTGCCTGACCTTTTTCTAACATCCACTTGCATGCAGACACAAACAGCCATTACTATTCAAATATATCAGAGATATATATCTGAAGTAAAGGCTCTAAATGCTAACATTTGTGCTGTTCTAATTGCTTTATGCAGGTTATTTCACTTCCCGGCTTGATTTTGCAAGCGAAGCAACAACAATAATAATAATGAGAGGAATGATAAGAGGATTAGTTCTTGTTTTTGAAGTTCTTCATCTGTGGAAAGATCTTTCTAGCACTAATTTTTCATCAGTAGCTAAATATGGCCTGTTTTTTTCATCATTTCAGTGCAATTCATGTTGGCTGTGGCAAGTCAAAGGGTGTCAACAGAGATTACACTAACATAGTAGTACAGTTTTCCTCAGCAGTTCTATAACTTGGTTGCTCAGACTACACCAAAATACATATTTGAGTTGGTACCAATATTGTACATGGTCTAGGAATAGTAATCTATGTGACTGTTCTGGTTTATACGTACAGTAACAGTAACTGTGTTTCAAAATTAATAGTTATGAGGCAGAGATCAGACTAGCTTAGAATTGTTACATAGGAAACAGTAAAAGAACAATTGAAATTTAATTGAAGTTCTAACAACTGGTCTTACCAGCTAATCCTGATCAGCATTACTCAGTGTGCAGTTCGTGTCAGCTACTCGGAATAAAAATGCCAATTTGTACGTGGGATAAAATATTCAAAGTGGATCTAGAATTCTTTGTCAGGTGTCCTGTATTTTAAAGGCTGTATTCTATCATCAGATTTTCCCTTTGTGATTAATTTCTACAAATAAAAAAAAATTGTTTTAAGAAAAAATGCATGTCTTCCATTAGTAACTGAATTACCACTTGATTTCTCAATGTGTTGCACTGAATCATCTTGCTCATGCAAAGGAATTAAGAATTAATATCATTAAATTAATGCAATGTTATCAGTGTTAATTCATGAATGTTAAAAATTACAAAAATGATAAAGTCATTTTAACACTGTGAAGATTATATCATCTTAAAGAGTTGTATTTTTGGAAGAGTTAGAATCATAGAATCATTTAGGTTAGAAAAGACCCTTAAGATCATCAACTCCAGCTATACTTCTAACACTGCCAACTCCACCACTAAACCATGTCCCTATGTACCACGTCTACACATCTTTTAAATACCTCATGGGGTGGTGACTCAACCACTTCCCTGGGCAGCCTGTTCCAATCCTTGGCAACTCTTTTGGTGAAGAAATTTTTCCTAATATCTGATCTAACCCTCTCCTGGTGCAATTTGAGGCTATTTCTGCTTGTCCTATCACTTGTTACTTGGGAAAACAGACCAACATCCACCTTGCTACAGCCTCCTTTCAGGTAATTTCAGAGACCAAACAGGTCTCCCCACAACCTCCTCTTCTCCAGACTAAACAGCCCCAGTTCCCTCGTCACTCCTTATAAAACTTGTGCTCCAGATCCTTCACCATCTTCGTTGCTCTTCTAACTTCTCTTGTCCAGAAATATAAACATCTTGTGGTCCTTAGGAAATTTATCTGTAACTTGACTAATTATTCACTAGATGTCTCTGTGCTCCTGAATTTAGTATGTTACTGTTGAAACCAAATAGTGATTACAATTGAGAGGGATAATGTGGGCTTTGGTTTTGCTGTCATTAAAATTGTTTCAGATACCATCTTAAAATCATTTTAATTTAAATCATTTTTTCATCTTCTTTCTTCATGTAAACCTTACAAAAAGTGATGCACTTGAATTCCAGTTTTTTAATTGCACTGAATTAGTATTATCTTTTTGTCAATGCAAATAAATGTATAAAGGCATAAAAAACCTGAACTACGTAGTTATAAGAAAAACCAGAAGTATTTACATTGTAGAATACTAAGATAGTTAATATGGTTTATAGGTAGTCTGTGAATTTTTTAGTAATTGTTTTGTCATAGACCAGTATCTGCTTGCAGTTTCTCTTACTACATTTTTATTCTGAGTTCTGAGAATTTGAATTTGGAATTATTGCAGGGGGAGGCATTGTGGTTTTCCTTGCAGGAAAAAATAAAGCTGCGCTTCCTATGTGTGTTTTAGATCTCTTGTCAAGTTAAAAGTACAGTTTTGTACTCCTGTAAGTTAGAGATTTCATATGCTCTTGTATGATTCAGTTCTATTTTTAAAACATTGAGCAAGAAAGTTCTTAAATTATGGGAGGCTAGATTTGCTATTTCCTTTTCAGTGGATGGAGAGGTCTAATGCCAGTGCAGCTCAACAACTCTGTGTTTACCAGTTTTCCCTGTCTGTAACTTTTCTTAGGAATGAAATCTACATCGCTCCTTCAGGAGTCCAAAAGGAAAGAATACAGGTATGTTGAACTGTATTTTTACCTCAGAGCTCATCTCAAGATGGATAAAAGTACCTTTGTTTAGTGTTTCATTTTTCCTTATGTAAAGTTAGGAACTTGTTATACTATTGACTGCCTTATTGAAACAACTGGGGATTTCACTCGGTACTCCACTAGCATATCAAGCCAACATGTGTTTCAGTGATGAGTTTTGATGATCTCTGTGTTTTAAAGTAACAGAAGACTGTGAGAGACTCAAGTCCAGCCTTATTGTTTGTCAAGCTTGAATGGCTTTATAGCTGTCTGGCTACAGTTTCAAGTTACTGTGGTACATAATTAAGCATTAAAACCTCATCTCTATTTATTTTCCTTTGAGTGGTTATAAATCTTTGTCTTGATATTCTCAGTAAATAGATGGGCTCTCCCAATGATAAGGTGACCTTGTCTATCTGTCTCCTTTCCAAAAAAAACCCCAAAATATAAGCAGAGAGAAGAATGTTAAATGATAACTATTTTATGAGCAGAAACTCCTCCACCATAGAATATATGCAAAGGATTTGTTGTTTTATACGTCTGAGGGTAAATATAATTAGAAGCGAAAGAAATCCCTTCACTGATAGAAACTTGGGGTTTCACAGTAGTGATCACTGGGGATGTTAGCAATGAAGTCAGGCAAAGGGGTAACATGGGAAGATTGTGTTGGTCTGTTCTTTGCTAGCAGAAGCAGTGGATTGAGTACAGTGAGTAAGGAAATCTCTTGCAAATCTATTTCCTGCTGATTTTTTAAAATAACATTAAAGAAGAAAGTTTTATTACTGCCCTGAACAATTCTTTGTACTGTTATGAGTAGCTGATTGATGCAAAGGTAATATTCATGTAAAGCTACTAAAACCAAGGTTTAAAAACATAATTCTACAAGTTAAATATATATAGGTTTAATTCATGTTCTTTGTTGGTTCTTTAAGGGAGAAGGAAAAGTACATCTGTATTATTTTTTGAATCAGTTACTACTTTTCCTTTTGATCTATTGTCTGTTAACTAGATATAGTCTGTCTCCTCTCTGAGAAAATGTTTGTTTTACAAGTATCTGCTTGGCATCAGTCTGAATAAAAAGACTACCTAATATTAATTCACATTACACAATGTCAGTAATTAGTATTAGAAGCTAGAATAAATGTGGTGTGTTACATCACTTTTTCAAAGTTAGAATCACTTTCTGAGTTAAATATGTGGTGTATATATTTGTCTCCCTAGAAGGAAAACGAAACTATTCAGGTCATCACAGCTCAAAATAGTTTCTTCTTTCTTACAGCCAGAAGATATGTTTGTCTGTGACATGAATGAACAGGACATCAGTGGTCCTCCACCACACAAGAAACTAAAGAAAAGCCAGTGCACACCTCTTTTTATGAATGCCTACACCATGAGAGGTGTGTAGCAAATGTTTTTAGTTCAGCAATGACTGAAACACTGTATACGCACATCCTCAAAGTCGATATTCAATACCATATTCTTTATACATGGAAGTTACAGTGAAATAAATATGACACTATAGAATAAATTTATTTGCAAAGAAATATGTACAATGGAAGGTAATCTGTGGTAACATCCTGTGAGTCATTTACATTTTAATCTTCTCATGTAGTTATCTATACCTGTGATCATCTTTTCAGCACTAATTTTTAATGCAGTATGTTAGTAGGTTGCGGGAGGAGCTGGGGGATTTACATCAGTAACTTTAGAAAGGATTTAGAGAGTCTTCTGATCTTCCTGCACAAGAAGCTTACACATGTACCAGAGGAACACTCATTTCATGTTTTTGGCAGCATTGCAACTTTATAAATAAATTATAATTATTGTCTACCTATCTTTCCATCATGATACAGTAAGATAACATTAAATATTTTTTTAGAGAACCAGTGCATAATCAAAGTAGGGTACTAGCTTAAAAAGAAAGTAAAGGTCTTCAAATTTTTCTCTCTCAAATAAGTTTGGGAGTTCTTTAGTGTCTCAGAACTCTGATTAAAATTAATCGTGTTTCAGTCATTGCAGTATGTAAAGAAATGTACAAGTAGTGTTTCTCCTTGAATTTGTGCCAGTAGTTTCTCTCCTGGAATTTGTCACGAACTGAAAACACTAGTGTCCTAAGACAATCCATAATTATCCTTTCTAGATGAGTAATTGTATCATACTTTTATTTAGGTTGCTGTATATTTTTTCCTCTAATGGAGTAGATCATAATTTGCTAAGATGCCTAGGCAAAGAAAATTAATAAGTGAATAACATTTTCTTAGAAGACATATTTTAAAATTAATTCCAAAAATATATTTTTGTGGTTATTTTTCTGTTCTTAGGGGCAGGTGCAGTGATCCATACTCATTCCAAGGCTGCTGTTATGGCTACCCTTCTTTACCCAGGGAGTGAGTTCAGTATTACTCACCAGGAGATGATAAAAGGAATCCAGAAGTGTACTTCAGGAGGCTATTACCGGTACTTCTCTATATTTAAAAAAAGAGGCATGCTATTTGATCATTTATTTTCAGCAATATAAATAAATGACAAATCATTTGAGTTATGTGCGTTAAAGTGTGTAATATGAAGTATTAGGAATAAGAAGTAAAAATACCTCTGTAATAAATCAGACACTGGCTTTCCATAAGAAGGTCTCAAGCCTATGGAAGAGATGTGAGATAAAATCTTGTAATGTCAAGGCAACTGTGGTCTGTTGAGCTACAGAAACAAACCAAATAAAGAGCTGTGTCTTGACAAATATCTCACGAACAGAAATGTTAACGCATCTATACAGTGTTAAACTGAAACTGGAGCCAACCAAAATTAGGTTGGATTGATAATGTGCAAACTACTTTTGGGTGGGCTTCACATATCACTGCCTGTGCTAGTTTAGGGCATGTTAGGAGAGTAGAGAGTTTCAGATTTTACTTGACAGACTTTAAAAGAAAAATCAGAGTAAACAGCTCATTAAAGATAATGTTATTACTTTTCAAGGATGAGCTCTGAGGTAAGTGCTGAGTTATTCCAAAGTATGTGTGATGGCTTGTTTTGAGGACTCCACCCACAGAATGTTGAATCGGGATCTCCAAACAATATTTATATAATATGTGACAATTAGATGACAAATTGAAATGCTAAATTCTTCCCACTTTTTGATGTTAATTTTTGTAACTAACTATTGCCCTTTGACAAGGGAGCATGCCTTATGTCTGCTGTGTGATTTTATGCCCAGGTGTATTTTAATCAGTTTTGATTGACTTGCCAGGTTTACCTTCTTGTCAATTTGTATTTTTAATGTTGCAAAAGACAACCCTTATATTGAATTGTCTATCAACACTGGTTTTAAAAAAATCCACAGACTTTTCTTTTATTTCTTTATTGGATATGCATGTTGAATTTTCAAACATTCCTAATTGTTAATCAGGAGACATTGTATTTATCATTCATTGTATATATCTCTGGTGTCATTCTGTTAATTTACCAGAAAAACTAAAGAAATCAAAGCTCCAGACTACATGGTTCCTAAGTCTATATTTGTCCATATGAGACTGATTCCATTGTCTTGCTTCACACAAGGCTCCCCATTGAATTCAAAAGAAATTTGATAGTGCAGAATGGGATCTTGCAAAAAAGGGATTGACAGTATATTATTTCTAATTCCACAAACCTTTTCTGGAAGCTCTTCAGGCAAATAGTGCAGAAAAGATGATCAGAAGTTTTTGTTGGCCAAAATATGATCCCACTGGTGCCAGAACAGTTTTATCTTTGACTTCAGCAGAAGGAGAACTAGATCTGTAGTAAATAGCTTTGAAAGTCTCAGACTGTCCTGAGATATTTTATATGAAGGCTTGGCTAAATGGAGGCTGCTTATATTTCAGTGAAACGAAAGAGATATCATGTAATTATCTCATTCAGAGTCTTTCTGAGGAATTATAGATATTAGTTCTTAATAAAAAGCTTATGGTCACGATTAGAAATCAGTTATGGTATTTATACCTGCTTCCAAACTCATGTCCAAGTAGAAAGCAGAAGCTAGGCAACCAATCCCTTAGCTCATTTGGCCTCACTAGTAACAAACACTCCAAACCTAATTTTAATGATCAGAATATGTAAGAGTCAAAGTAAACCTGCAAAACCATGTAATTTTCTTCATTCGCTGTTTTTATAGCCTTCTTTTGGAAAGCATCAGCACTGAAAACTGTGTAAGGGATGAGACTTTTTAATTTTCTGAATACCTGATTTGAAGTACAAACTGTATTATTTTTACCATTTCTTTCGCTCTGTGTTTTATAAAAGTACTACGAACATCCACTCGAAATATCTATGTGATCTCAATGATAAATCTGAACCTGAACTGGGGACTTATTAAAACTATTTAAACAAGTTTCTGCCAGTGTTAATTAAAGTTCAGACAATGCCAAATATCCCAGTCCTCCTTCAGAAGAAACTCTTAGGCAAGTTCCACTGTGTAACATGCATCATCTTGTCTTTGGAAATGGGGTTCTCAGGCTCTCTTAAGATCACATATAGCCCACCAATGACTCCATCACAGAGAATTTATTTTTCATGTGTTGACTCTACTTTCTATTTATATGCCTTAGCAGGACAATCTTATTTCCAGGGGCTTTTTGGACTACCTAAACTATTTTTTTTTCCCTGCTCTCCAGCAAACAGCTTCATTTCCTTCTTCATGATGTGATTCTTTTAAATAATTTAATATGAGATAAAGCTTGTAGGTGATGCCAATACAGGATGATGAGAGTCTGAAAAAGTTGTAAAGGGACCCAACTACAAAGTGATATATGAACAAACAGCTACACCTAATACATCAAAGTGTTATTTTCTTTTTGTGCCTCAAGTGTAGCTCAGGTATTGCCAACAGAGAACACATTTTGGAGTGAGAGATGTTCCTGAGAGTTCATATGTTACAGCATGACTCACAAGGGAAGAGCATAAAATCACTAGTGTTGAGAATCTTTACACGGTCTCTTGCTTAGGGAAAAGCTTCATACATCCAAACACGGCGGGTTTTTAAATACATTAATTTTTCTTTTAGGTATGATGATATACTAGTGGTTCCCATTATTGAGAATACACCAGAAGAGAAGGATCTCAAGGAAAGAATGGCACGGGCACTGGAAAAATACCCAGACTCTTGTGCTGTATTGGTCAGACGTCACGGAGTTTACGTATGGGGAGAAACATGGGAAAAAGCCAAAACGATGTGAGTACAATTTAGAAATACGGTATTTTTTGCCATTATACCTCAAAATCTTAATGACCTTAATGTCATGTGTATCTCCAACCCATGGACAACGATTCAGAACATTAAATTCTGGACTCACTGAATATATATATGTAGGGAGCTTTTGGGAATGGGTTCATCTGTGATTCCACTGCTTGCTTTCCCTTTCATATCAGTGCTGGTTGATAGGGTTGCCAACATTTTCCCTTCATATGGACAAGTCTCTCCTCGTATGAAACCTGCAGGCAATCTCTACTTCTATATGACACCTGCCAATACTGTTTCTGTAGTCTTCTCTGGTCCCATTTATTGGAATTTACTTCTTCATTTGCTGATGGAAATGCAGCAAATCCAGATCACGTAGCAAAAATGCTGGGACTTTCCATACCACAGTAATGGGAAAAAATTATAATAGAGCTGTCCAGTCAGACCATCACATTAGTGATGTAAAGCTCGAGGAAGAAAAATACTAATTTCTATAAAACATGGTAAGACTTGAGCCCTACTTTACATTTTGCTTCTTTTTCCTTTTAAATTTAGGTGTGAATGTTACGATTACTTGTTTGATATCGCAGTGCAGATGAAGCAGCATGGGCTAGATCCTTCAAAACATCCAGCAGGAGAAAATGGGATCTTGTAAATGACAGCAACATTTATATTCAGGTATGCATTTATCCATAGAGATGATCTGTTTGGAGGGAGAGACTACAGATGACACCATTACTTCAGTCTGCTTTCTCACTGAGGAAGCTTTAGTACTGCACATCTCCCCTGCTCTGCTCCATTACCACTGCAATTGTATCTATGCCTGAAATAATGTACCTTTACCACACGATGCAACAAAAAGATACATATTAAGTATGTCCTGTCCATATTTTAGCACCTATGTACATCATGGAGTGCAGTTGCTTTTTAAGACTGAATTGTATCAAGCATTACTAGAAAAAGCCAATGGAGAAAAAAGACCTTAGTCTAGTAAGCTAATCTATACAGAGGTGCCTGAACTCCTGGTTTTGTTCTTCAGCTTGCAGGATCAAGTCTGATTTCAGTCCATCTCAGTGGTGTTACTTATATGGTGGGTTATGTGGTTTTTTCCTTCAGCAGAAATGTATGGTTGCAATTTGATTAAGTTTTATTAATTATTGTCACCTGTTTACCTCATACAGCAAATTTCCTTGACGCTTTGTTTTCTGATGTAGCAATGATCAATATTTTGAAAGTTTTCGTAACATACTTTAAAGTAAAAGCACATAGATGATTGATCAGGCAGTGCTTTACATGAAGGGTCCCTGAAACAATTCTCAGGTAAGCAATATACAGCTTGATATGGCAAAACACAGCGGTAGCATAACATTTCAGGGTCTGGGACACTTCTTGCTGAAAATATAAGCAAGTTTAAAGATACCAGTACTGAGATTATAAAGGAGTTGCTAAGCCAAAGCGGTGTTCTAATGAAACACGATAGGCTAACTTGTAGCACAGAGTTGGCCCATTGTATAATCATCTCCACCCACCACGTTTGCATTGGAAGAGATGACAGGTGGCTGCTCAGGTAGCCTGAGCCCAGAACAGACAGGTGCTTGGATCATTAGCCTAATGCCCACACTAGAGTAGGATGTAGTGGGACAGAAGGCTTGCTGTCAAGTGAGTCTCTTCATGAACAGGTATTTGGAGACACTGGCTACCACACCTGTACAGAGCTACCTCACAGCCCACGAGAACCATTCTAAAATTACTCCTCAGCGCCTGCAATTGCATAGGTTGGGCTAACATAGTGGCATTAATACTCCTCTGCCTATGTCTTATGACTGAATACCTAGTTTTAGAATATTTTCACTTCTATCTTGTTTCTTCTATACAGGTTTCTTACATGATGATGGAAATTCCAGATTCTACCTCACACTGTTAAAACCAGAAGGGGGTGCAGTTATACTTGGCTGACTGACAGATGTTAGCAGTCAGTTTTGACTGTTAAACACATCCAAGAAGAAAAAGAAGTTAAAACAAACAAAAAAAAAGCTGAACAATCATTGCTATTTATGAATCCTGTCAAATGTACAGTAGGAGGAATGAAGATTCAGATGAAAAAAAACAACTTTGAAAAAAGCTATGGAGAACTAATGCAACATTTTGTTTGCGTGCTTTAAAAATTCATATTTCGATAACCTGCATTTGTTGATACTGCTCTACTGCTACATCATTTAACTTGTTCTAGGTCTCCATTTCTGAAAGTTACAGTACCCTTTATTCTTAGGGAAAAAAGTGAAAACAACCCCTAATTAGAAGCTAAGTATAAAGTTTAAAGCATTGTTTAAACTGTTGATTCATTCATGCGGTGTTATTAGGGGTTTTTTTAAATTAAGCCTGTAGCATAGGTATTTTTAAAATTCTCTTAATTGTCATTATAATGAGTAGGAAACATAATTTTATAGTGTGAATTTAGAGGTTGTTACTGAGAGACTACTCTGGGTCTTGTCTGATTTTTACTTCTTTTAATTCATTTCACTTTCAATAAGATTATGTTTATTACAACTTTAAAACAGCTTTTTATGACCTATAATTAGCCAGCCTAAGATAGATGTAATCATACTGCTCATTAAAATATAGTCTCATATATTTATGTATCTTATTGTCGTCTTTCAAAATCTTGAATGACCCCCCCAGTGGCACCAATCTAAGCCTTGATTGACCATCTTTCTGATTGAGTATCGAGACTCTGGTCCCAATGGTGAATTGAGACAGGGTAAGCATCGATTGACCTTTTTTTTCTGCTATGGACCATGCATTCCACCACTTCCCCTTGCATCATCTCTGGCACTTTTTTGAGCTTCTGTGAGGTGAATTAACTCTTCAACCTAAGAGAAAACTACTGCAGAAATCAGGGGAAGAAAATTATTATATTGTTTCCTAATAAGCCACTGGTGAAATGTTGAATCAACTCGGAGGTGGGTCCAAAGAGAACCAGGGCTGGGGCAAAAGAGGAGGTAGCTGAAGCCAGAAATGGCAGACAGTGCTTCCCCCATTTCATGGGGATGACTGTTCAGACTTACTTGGCTACTTGTGGACAGGCATTTGCTGCAGATGTTCTGGCAAATGCAGCAAGAACTGAAATCTGTGGAAAGTATTCTGCTAAACCAAGAAGCCAGGAAGAAACATATTTTTCCCCTGTTAATGAGCACTAACTTTTCTTTAGCTATGTATGTTAGACTACTGATTATAGCACAGCATATGCCATTGGTCTCTCTCATTACTGGTAATTGCTTTGTGCTGAACTTCTTCCAAAAAACATCCTGCTTTTGCTTGGTGGGTGTTTGTATCCCCACAGTCTGTCGCTGGTCTCCAACAAAATCTGGTGTAAGCCAAGTGCCTGCTGACCTGATCCAACCTGCTGGGTACTGGCTGTTTCTAAGCAGTAAGATGTCATCACTTGTGCCATGACAGGCTGGTGTAGCCACCAGAGTTGCTGCTATGCTGCCAGTTTGCCAGCAACCAAATCCCTGTTATCTCCACATCCTTGTAGCAGCTACAGCCTGTCTTTGTGCTGTACAGAGAGCATGTTCAGCACCTGCTGCTACTAGACCAACAGCAGCTGTCAAAGATGACATCAAGAACTCAACTGATGAAGTTACCACCCCACAGGAATGATTTATTATAGAATGATCTGCCATCAGAAACTTGCTGAGTACTCATCTACCAAGATAATATATCCTCATCTCTCTGGGATGCTTCAGATTTTCTCAACAGGAAATACCTAAACTTTGCTTTCAAATTTTTCCATTCCTGTCAGTCAGAAATCAACTAAGGAGTTGTTAGAGTAATTGCTATTTAGTTCAGATAGGCCTCTTTTTCCCCTGATGATTGGGCTGCAATATTCACCAGCATCGATTACAGTGAATTTAACTGAACGAAATCTTTGCCATTCTATTCTTACATCAAAGGAATAACAATGTTTCATTCTTTTCTGGATTTCCTTACACATTTTAGGAACAAGAGTAAAGCATTGACTGTTTTTTGGTTTACGCCACTGAACTGTTCTGAAGTTTATTTCTGAACTTTTTTCCCAAATGCTTGGGCTACCTGATTCTTAAAATTCATGAAGGGTAGTAGTGCTGTGCTGACAGACTGACAGGTTTCATTAAGATTGGTGTCTTGTGACCCTTAGGCACATTTGTCCTTCCTGACTATGTAATGCTGTAGCCACAGTGTGTACCCTTTAAACCTTAGGAGGAGGGTGACCATCATTATTATTGTGGAATAGTGGTTATCACTAAGTGACTGCAGGTTGTTGGCTATATGTTTATTCAACTTTTTTTCATTATTAGACTCTTGTTTGTCAGTGACAAATATTTTACAGTGACTCCACATCTTGTGAGTGTATGTGGATTGCAGTAAGAACTTTGAAAAATGTTACTTTTTAGATCAGAGAGTGACTTTGGACAGGCTGCATAATCCTGTACTCCACTTAAGCACAAAACACATCTCTAAGTATTTTCAAGACTTCAGAGGTGCAACTGACACGAAGTGAAAGAAGATAGCATTTCCCTTATCTTGTCTTCCCTATGGGCATGCTAATGAAAATACTACTTAAGTCTTCAAATCTAGTTGCCATATATTGATTGTGACCTTTAATTCTTTGTTTAAACTGCTAGATTCTGCAGAAAGTAAATTGCTGTGGTATTCTGATGATGCTGTCAGAATAGGACATAATTGTATCACACTATAATGCTGATTTTGTAAGGATAAAGAACATTTTACACTTGGTGTTGTTTTATTCTGCATGTATAATGACAAACTACAAAAGAACACTCACAAGGAAAGGTATTTTTTGTGAAATATATTCCTCTCAGGTCATGTTAATTACAAATGTTCACTTACTTATCCAGCTACAATTTGCCACTCTAGCCTTTCTAAAATCTGTGTGAAATACCAAATTTCTATAATAGTAGTAAAGTTCTTTCATGTAGAATGCCAGGATGCTCAGAGTCACATTCAGTGGTGTGGAAATGAACTAAATATGCTCTTCTTACATCTGTTTGTGTGATCTCCCAACAAAGAAATCAATAACTTCACAGCTTAAGTGGCTTCACAAACCTTTGAAATGGTTATGGTTTCCCAAAGTGTTCAGAAAGATCTTAAAGGTCAGCTCCAATTATGTAGAACAAAAATATTAAAAATTCCTATATGATTTAAAGCTTCTAAACACCCATAATTTTTAAGTCTAGATCATTTTCTGACATGAATTGTAGAATAATAAGCCATCTAGATATTTTTCTGTTTACAGCAAGGACTTGATCTCCATTGAAGCTGATTATCTAGGTTTAGTATCACCAGATAGGCTTATGTAAAAATGACATAATTCCTATTTCAGATGGGTCATCCAAAAAACTAATTAAGTTCTAGTATTTCCCAATAAAAGTAGTTTCCTAGCAGACATCCTACTTGCTTTCCAAGAAGGAAATAAAACTGCAGAACACAGCATCTACACTGCAGAGCAACTGGCATCCTATTTCCTTTAACTCTGAAATATTTTTAAAATTAACATCTGAAAAAGCCCACTGAATAGCGGAAAACTATAAATAAACCAGTAGCCTTCCTCTAAATTATTTTTTTGCCAGACTTTTTTTGCAAATATTTCTGTAACAATATTTTGCTGTTGTACAGAGGATGACAAATTGGTAAAGGAAACCTGGAGCACTTTAGATGGCTTCTGTATTAAGGAACAGAAGAAAATACATAGTTTGATATTAATGCTTCTTAATTTCAAAATTGTCAAAAAACTTCTGAGCTGATACAAGTTAAGGTGTCCCTATTGAAGGGAGTTATCAGTCATGTACTCTACAGATTCATAAGCAATAAATAAATTGGGAGAATGCTTCATTTTTGAAGCTGCTTTGGATTTGTAGTTCCCTTTTGTTGTAAGGGGAGGTGAACCCTTGCAGGTTTCGGTTTTGCTTTCTTTCCCTACATATAAAGTGAAATAAAAGTTATGCTTTACAGACCTAGGATATGTCCAAGGACAGCCCTCTGAGCTGAGATCGACTTCTGTAACAGAATATAACAGAATAAATCCTGTGATTGTGCTTTGCTACCAGCTAATCAGAGCTTTCATAGAAGTCAGTGAATCTGTAAGTTTGGTTTAATTTTAAGTCAACTTAGTGTTAAAAGCTTAATGTTACTCCAGAAGTATGCTACCGGATATGATTTTTAAAAAAGAAAATTTCTGAGTCCCTGAATCTGAAAAAGAACTCTCAGGCGTTTATCCTGGTATTACCCAAGGATTTACTACATAAATCAGATGGTAAATAAAATCTCACTATTTTTTGGTTGACATCATTAGCATAGAGACCTGTTTCTGCTAAGTTTGAGTGCTAGTGGTTCAGCATAGTGAGTGCACCACTGCAAAATTATTTGGAGGTGAAACCTTTAGGGGAACCACAACAGTTGTCTATTTCTTAGGATTTTAATTGATTGAAAACAAAATAAATTCCAAATAGTAAATTTTTAATTTTTTCTATATGTCTTCAGACTTAATCTATCATCTGCTATATTTTGCTACAGCAGTCAGAAAAAAATAATGACTGGCTAGTGCTCAATGCCAAAAATGGACTGAGCATGTTTGACTAGATGGGATTTAATGGGGAATCATGAAAATTCATATTGCCTGGATAGCATTTGCAAACACCCACTCTCACTGTACTTACATGTGTGTGTTGGGTTTTTTACTCTAAGATACTGTGCTATTGTACTAGCAAGTTTCTCCCATCTATGACAGATAAAATTACAGAGTTTAATCTCCAGAAACCAGATCAACAAGAATTTATTCAAATAGTCATGTATAAATTCTTGCTCCTTAATGAGCCCTAGATTAGCTCCAAATTCTCTAATGGTAATTTCTGATAATTACAAACAGAATACACTGGATATAGAAGAAAGAATAGGTCTTACATTTAAAGCAAAGAGCTGGAAGTCTAGATTTTGTGGCTGATTCAAGTGTTACCTTAAGGTCATACCTTGAACAGTTCACTTTGATGGGAGTTTCAAAAGAGCTTGAATGAATCAGATACTACCCTCAATCCCATTGGAAAGTTAGGTGCTTAATTTCATTAGGCTCCCCCATAACTCTGAGGACTTAGGTCTCTGTTTCAATCAGGGGTATAAAAAAAAAAAAAAAGGGGTGGATGGGTGGGGGACACATGGAGTACTAGCTCCCAATTTATCACTAGTGTAGCCCAGATTAATATCAAATGCTTAACTGGTACTTTTTTCCTAAAAAGAAACATGACCTCTTATAGTAGAAACCCTTAGTTTAAGAAAAAGGTTACCCACGACAGTTTCACCTAGCAGAGATTTACACAAGGAATCGAGAACTGAGCTTTCCTGCTTACTCAGAGATGTACATTAATTCTACCACAACTAACACAACACCATTTTTGTGACTTCAATTCCACCCCTCCCAAAGGATACCAGCCATCTGGCTTTCGAGATGAAACATCTGATTCCCGTCGTAAATTCCTGTTCTCCAGATAAAGCAGGTTACCCTCGCAGTCCCCGTTTTGCTGCAGTCCCTGCAAACAACATCACTGCAGTAAACTGAAGTATGTCTGTATGTGTG